TTATTTTTATTTTTATTTTATTTATTTTTATTTTATTTATTTTTATTTTATTTATTTTTATTTTATTTTATTAATATTTCTCTCATAGATCAGGGGGAAGTTGTAAGGAGGGTGAATAGTGCTATCCATTAAATACTTATCCATCATCCAGCAGATAAAATCATAAAGAACCTATGTAGTATAAATTTTAATTCTTTGACCTTGTATCACAAGCCCCTGACTTACAACAAATTCTGGTGCCATAAATGCTTAGGGGTGGAGAGGGAGGGGTTATTATTTGTTATACTTAAATTACCTTGCATGGCCCATGTGGGATGCATCATACACAGTAGGGCCACAGCCATACCATGTGACTCTTCTCCCTTGTTGAGGTACAAAGACATTCTACAAGAAAAGTCAGGGGGGGTTAACAAACGACACTTCATCTTAATAAACAATTGTTCATGTCATTATACAGCCTTAATCAATGATAATTTATATCATACTCTGCCTCAACCAATAATTCTTCATAATATACTCAAAATAAACCAATAATTGTTCATATTATACTCAGCATTAACCAACCATTTTCCATATCATACTCAGCCTTAACCAATAATTCTTCATATATCTTATTCAGCCTTAACCAAAAATTCTTCATAGTATACTCAGCCTTAACCAATAATTCTTCATATCATACTCAGCCTCAGCCAATAATCATATCTATTATTGAAATCTTACCTGATCATAAATTATCATATTAAATATTATTAAGTTATATACGCTGTCAAAATTACTACATTATTATCAAACATCTAGCAGTATCGTTGTGTTTATACTGTTCTATAAAATTATGAACATCAAAAAACTTATCAAATTTATTTGAAAACGATTTTGAAAACCAAACTATTGCAGCATCAGATTGTGGAAAATCAATGCGGATATCAACATTTTTTACCTTCTCTCGCGTAAGACTGTTAAAAATCTTCAATTCTCCGTGTCCCTCTGGCTGCTTCCAGCTTGGTAGAGTTTTATTTGACATGTTAGAGTGATTAATAGATGAAAAACCTGCCACAGATTCAGCAAGAATGACACGTCTTCCTTTAAAAACACGATTTAGATGRCTGAAAATGACGACTGTTCTTCGAGGAAATTGCATAAATTCAGGACGAAAAAGTCATAAATGAAGGCCAAAAAACGCGTTAGAACCGTCTATATTCTACAATTTCTCGCCAAGAATGAGAAAGGCAAGAATTATTTGAAATTTGCCGCAAAAKTCAGTCTACTCTTCCGCCATTTTGGTCAAATTTCAACTAGTGCCAGTCTATCCAATCGAGTCGCTTGAACCGGAAGTAAGTACACCGGAAGAAAAACTTTCTTTGGATGGATGAACAAATGTCGATGGCTGAATAAATAAATAAATAGATGAAAAAGTGGATAAAAAACGTACACAACTAGCATTTCTCCAGAATTGTCTCAACCATATTTTATTGAACTGCAATCATATTCTTCAAATAATATATTAACACATATTTATTTGAATAATTCTAATTATCTTTACATATATTTTACATATCAATAAATATATGATAAATTTCCCATTTAAATTACAATTAACTCGTAAAATAAGAAAATGCACTTTATCCATGAAACATTCATAATACAAAATAGGTACAAAATTATACTTAATTCCTTAACAAGATTATCATCATTAAACTATGGGCTATTACAAATCCTGCAAATGCAGAGAAAAGTTATTCTTTATAATTGTCTTTGCTCAAATTTGTTGGTTACTAAAGCAATTTAGACCACTTGATTACATGAAGTTTGAATGCCCCAGTATTGGTCTATCTGGCCAAGTATAGAGCCTCGATCATAGACTATCAACTCATAGCRTACTCGACCATGCAGACTAAATAATTCTGAAATGATCAAATTTAGTGGTAAAGAGTACTGATTTGTTTCACAGATTAAATGCATCTAATAACAATTCAATATTGAGTACTAAATGGCCTGCATACATCTGTTATTTTACATGTAAACACTGGACAAAGCCCAGGCAAAGAAATAGAGGACAAACACTATAATAGTCCTTTAAATAAAATGAAAGTTTCAAAAGAATATTTCTGATATTTGTGGGCTATTGATTCACTATCTGCATTCAACGTTTCAACAAATGAATTGGGATAATTTAAATGTTTATATCAATACTCAGCTGTACATGTAGTTCCTATATCTCAAAGATATGGTGTGTATCAATTGTACATTTTACACCCAAATAAAAATTCCAATAATTTAATTGTTTAGTTTAAGTTGTTGCAACACTTACAGCAGAAATCATTGCACCATGACTTCTTCGTTTTGAAGTTTGTTTGGATTGTTCTATCCTTGGATCTGAGGGGCGGAGCTTTTCATAAACTCATTCAGTCACTGGCTGATTTGTATCAATCTTGCCCCCAAGACGTGAAAAAACCTAAATTCCAACAATTTCCTTTGAACATTGAAGTTGCAATGCAACTGTTTCTGCTGTAACTTACTGGACACTAGCTATTATTGTAATTCTGTGATATACATACTACAGTTGAAACAAAGAATCACTAGTATAACTAAGACGTATCCCACTACCTACTAGTCTTCTAAATATTTCAAGGGCAAGTCAACTCTATTATAAGTCCTTCATCTCAATAGCCGACTTTCAAATTTTGCTTCAGTAGCCAAACACAAAAGAATCAAGAGTCACYGTGCATAAAGCTCAGTCAATGGTGAAAAACTATTGTCTTTTCATAAATGATAGCATGCTTACAGACGTTCCAGCTGGGGGCCCGAGAAGGAATGGGGAGGAGAGGAGCAGGAATGCCTGTAAGCAGGCTACATAAATGACTGAGCTTTATGTACAGCAACTCATCTTGATTCTTTTGTGTTTGACTACAGAGGTGATATTTGCAAGTCAGCTATTCTTTGCTCAAGATAAATAAATGGAAGTTATGGTTAGGGGAGAATAAAATAATATTTTGTCGTGTGTTTAGTTATAATCTTAAAATCCTATAACAAAAATGTTCATAGCCAAATCTATTCTAATTTACTCTTTAATTGCCTTCTAAATATGACGGGCAATAGAGACAGAATAGCAGAGATAACGACGATCATGATTGACTTTAATGACATGATGTCACCAGTGGTCGTAAGAACGTAGAGCTCTACTCCAGCACTGATGAAACCAAATGATGGTGGAGCCACGCCTGAAAGAAAATAACCATTAGAAATAATTAATATCATTAATAATTATCAATAACAATTAATAACACTTTATAGCAGAATTAATGATGATCTTTTATTCTACATTTATAGTACTAATAAAAGAACATTCATATATTCATTTATTATCATCATCATCATCATTATCATCATAATCATTATTGTCATCATCATCATAATTACTAGTCATTATCAAGCCATCTTTTTCTACATCTTAACAAGATCCTCACCTATAAATGTGCCTAGAAAGAAAGGAAAGAGTGGCACGCCAATGACCGGTGATGTTATGTTGATAAACCAGTTTGGTAAGAATGGTGTAATGCGTAGGAATATGATGTAACTGAGAATGTCATCTTTGTGGTGGGATACCTGTGGAAAAGGTACAGTTATAAAACATGGGGCAAGCACAATTACAAGTTGGAGTGCAGAAAGCCCCAAAGGAAAAGTTTAAGGAAGGAAGAAAATAAGGATTGTGAAGTAAAAAAAGAGGGAGGGAAGGGAGGGAAGGGAGGGAAGGGTGGGGGGAGGGAGGAAGGAAGAAAGGAAAGAGGGAGGGAAAGAGAACAAAGGGAGCAGGAAGGAATGAGGGAAGGAAGGAAGGAAGTAATAAAGAAAGGACGGAAGACTCGAAAAGCTTGAAAAAGATAAATATGAGTTATAAAGTACTGAAAAAACATTTACCTGTGATCTCCATTTCTCCACCCTCTCTGGAATRTAATGTTTGACAAGCTTGGTTCCCACCAAGTGTGATAGAAGATAGCAAAATGATGCTCCTACACTAGAACACTGTGGGGCAAAAACATGTACAAAATAAACATAAAAAAAAACATGATTGAAATACTGTGGATGATGAATTTACTTGTGAATATATGAATGGATGAAAAAGAGATAAATGAGAAAATAAATGGATGGATGGATCAATAGAAAAATGAATGAAAACATGATTGATGAATGGATAACTGAACAACTGAGTTACTGAACAAATGAACGACTCAACAACTGAATAATTGAATGACTGGATGGATGGATGGATGGATGGATGGATGGATGGATGGATGGATGGATGGATGGATGGATGGAAGAATGGATGTGAATGAATGTTGAAAGTATTGAGATTTATTTTACTTACTAGGCACACTAGGAACAGTGCTAAAGGGAATGGGAAAAGAAATCCAGATAAAATACTACCAAATATCGATCCTGGGATAGCAAATGTTTGTAAACTATGGTTGTTTTATTAAGGATAAACTTTCACATGCAAATAACAAGAATTAGGTCCAATACACATGGATAGATTCGATTCGATTTTTCACAAAAACAGATAGAGTAGAACGGTAGTCAATAAAAATAGCTTTGGCGAAAAAACTAAAGTCAACGTAAGTCATTATATTAAGAAAGAGATTCATTCCTAGGCGAATATCATTATCAAATGGAGTATTTCAAAATGTGAATGGATTCGAGCGGTGGTCATTAAGAGAGCTAGATATCGAAAACGATGAATTCAAGGGGAGTCATTTCTATCGTGATTGCTTTCATATTACCTCTAAGAAAACAGCAAGAGATGAATATGGAATGAATAAACCTACATTTTCTTACATCT